CCCTCTGTAGGCCCTATTCCTATCTGACTGCCTATAATATTTCTATGTAGCTCATCTATCTGTAATAATGAGTGCCAGCAGAAGTTGTACTTTGTGTATTTCCCATTTGTTGATGTCTGTGTCACTAACAGCTTGCAAAATAAACAGCAAAAGAAATGAGTTTTAGGAATAAATGGAAATATAGTTAGCAAAAGAAGTGGCGAATGCTTGAAAAAATGTTCCACATCACTGGTCATTCGAGAGATGCAGATGAAAACAACACTGAGATTCCACCTCACCCCACAAAGAATGGCTGCTACCAAGAAATCACATAATAACAAATGCTGGCGGGGTTGTGGGGAGAAAGGAACCCTTCTCCATTGTTGGTGGGAGTGCAGACTGGTGCAACCACTATGGAAATCAATATGGAGATACCTCAAAGAGCTTGGACTGGAGGTTCCATTTGACCCAGCCATCCCTCTGCTGGGTATCTTTCCAAGAGAACTAAAAGAATCATATCACAGAGAAGTATGTGCACCCATGTTTATAGTGGCACAATTTGTAATAGCTAAATCTTGGAAACAGCCCATTTGCCCATCAGTTGGAAACTGGATAAAGAAGATGTGGTTTTTCTATAAAATGGAATATTACTCAGCCATAAAGAACGAGAAAATAGATTCATTCATAGGAAAATGGATACATATTGAAGATATACTCCTAAGTGAAATAAATAAGGCACACATGTGTAAATACCAAATAGTTTCCCTGGTGTGAATAATCTGCAATAATACATAAGATCCTAATAAGATTACTGACATTGAGAAATGGGAAGAAAGGAGCTAAAGGTGTAGGGAAGGTGGGATGGGTAGGGGAAGGGTAAAAAGGGAAAAGAAAAAAATGTGAGATAATGAAAATATGAAAATAAAGTGTTTGTAGATGGGGAGGGGAGGAGGGGGTGAAGGGAGGGCAGGGGTAAGGGGAAAAAATGAGAATCAAGACTTGTCATGTAGAGCTACAAGATCCCAACAATGAATGTAACTGTACTGTATACCTAAAATGTACCAATGAACTCAATTAAAGCTGCAAAAAAAAAAAAAAAGTGGTGAATGTTTCACTTTGTTGGGGAGGAAATACACTTTTTCTACAAGCACTGTGAATTTGTACTTGAGACAGACCCGTGTTACAAAACAGAGATTAACAAAAACTAACAAATTTACTAATTCAGGCAGTACACACCATGCAGGAGAAACCATAGTGATAAGTAATCCAAAACAATGGCTCAGCAGTCTGGTTTGTGTAGCTTCTTCAAGAAGAATAAATTTGTAGAGAAATGACAAGACAAAAGAAATTGGTTTTAGGTTTCTTCAAGTGGAGAAACGGCGTGAATTTATGAAATGAAACTAATTAGAAAAAATTTTTTTTCTGATTCTTTGGTGTCATCTCTAGAATGATGAGAGTAGATAGATATATCTAGATATATCTCCAGTAAAGGAAAGTTTCCTCCCTCCCTTCCTTCTTTCCTTCCTTCCTGAGACAGGGTCTCCCTATGCAGTTCAGGCTGGCCTTGAACTTGCTACGTAGCCCTTGGCTGGCCACGAACTTGCAGTGATCCTCCTGCCTCAGCCTCCCAAGTGCTGAGATTACAGGTGTGTGCCACCATGCCCGGCTAATAAAGCTTTTGAAGATTTCTAAGAATACAGAAAATTTCTAGTTTTAAAAAGAAATGAATACTCTTCTGTATTCATTTATTAATCACAGTAGTTGACTCTGTTGATCATTCCTACCTTCTTGATATCACCCATTTCAATTTCTCAAAGCTTTCGTGTCCTTCCTTGATGATTGTTCATAGTCTTCAAGTGCTCCTTTCTTACTGTTTGTGCTCTGTAAATGTGGAAGTTCTTCTAGTGCTTACTTCTGGATCCTGCACCCCCAAAATTTTTGTTTATTTATTTTTAAAGAATAGGGCTGGACTTTGGAAAAAGTTATCCCAATTTACTGTGTTGAGTTGGCATTGTACAGAAATGGACAGCCATATTGGTCTAGAAATGTTAATTATTTTTATTTTTATTTTTCTTCCATGTGTACAGGGGTAACACATTATACTAAATATGTAAGGTCATATCTACCTGGGTTTGATTACAGAAACTAATAAAGTATTTTCTAAATAATGAAAAAAAGAATAAGATAAGACTACAAGAGCAAGAAGCAATTTAAATATGTTCAGGGACCATCTTCATCTCCAGAATTAAGGATTATTTTAATGTTACATCATTGCCTTTTCTCTTTTACTTTCCTTTTTAGTTTTATTTTAGGATTCCGTATTTTTAATGTTCATACAGAGATGTCTTTAACTGAAATACCGAATAGTTTCTCTGGTGTGAAAAACTATAATAGTACACAGGATCCTAATGAGATAATTAATAATGTGAAATAGGAAGTAAAGGGCTAAAGGTGTAGGGAGAGTGGGAAGGGTGGGGGAAAGGTAATAAGGGAGAGGAAAAAAATATGAGAAACTGAAAAAATGGAAATAAAGTGTGTGTAAATGGGGAAGGGAGGAGGGGGTGAAGGGAGGGCAGGGACAGGGGAAAAAATGAGAATCAAGACCTATTATGTAAAGGTACAGGATTCCAGTGATGAATGTAACTGTATTGTATATCTAGATTGTACCAATAAACTCAATAAAAAGAAAAAAAAAAAGAATAGGGCTGGAGATTTAGCTCAGTAGTGCCATGCCTCCCTGGCAAGGGCAGGGTCCTGAGTTTAGTCCCCAGTACCAAAAAAAAAAACAAAAACAAAAACTAAAATAGACCATTTCTAGTTGTACAGTTCTATTAGTTTTAAACCATAATATATCTGTGTAATTACTACCACAGTCAGGATATTGAATAGTTCATCACCCCCACACACACACACAAAAAAAATTCCCTAAAATTCAATTGTTAATCGTGCTCTCCCCAGTACCTGGCCACCACAATGGTTTTGTCTTTTGAAAAATGTGTTCTTTTGCTATTGGCTTCTTTGAGTAACTCAGCATAATGCTTTTGGGGGGGGGATACTGGGGATCAAACTCAGGACCTTGGGCTTGTGAGTCAGGCATGGTGTCCCTGAGCTAAATCCCCAGCCCTGCATAATGCTTTTGAGATTCGTCTAAGTTGTATATAATAGCCTGAGATATCAATAGTATGTTCTTTTCATTATTATTTACATTAATGGGTTTATTGTTATTTTAGAGTTAATAAATACTCAACATTTCTCAGTTGCAAATATGGTAAATAATGACAAATACAACTCATATATAGAAAAGATCCTTGGAGACCCCAGTAATTTCAATTATCAATTTGACAAGATATCTATTACATAAAGGTTACCACTTTAATTATTTTTAGTTGTACTCTTGACTAGCTATAAATATATTGACAGTGTTGTACAATCGTTCATTTGTAGAATTGGATTTGGGGAAATTAAAAATTACAGCTATTTATCAAATAAAATCACTCAATATTTGCCTTTTATGTATATGTCTCATTTCACTGTGTGTATGTGTGTGTGTATTTTTTGGGTTGTTTTTTTTTTTTTTTGTGAGACAGGGTCTCGCTATGTAGTTGAGACTGACCTGGAACTCACTGTGTAGCCCAGGCTGGTCTCAAACTCAAAGCAATCCTCCTGTCTCAGCCTCCTGAGTGCTGGGATTTCACTTAGTATATTGTTTCAAGTTCATTTGTATTATAGCATATATTGAAAATTTGTTGCTTTTTATGTTGAATAATATTCTATTTTATGTACTTAACACATTTTATCTCTTTACTCTTAGCTATAATAGCAATTAAAATATACTGATAATCTAAATAGCAGATTTTAATGATTAAATAATAAATTATATGATACAGAATCTACATATGGGTAGAACATGCATTATCGAGATCCTTTTCCATAATTTTTCTTTTACTAACCCAGAGAAAAAGAAATTCAGTCTGGTATTTGAAATTCTGAGTCATTATTTGAGGTAAGCTTTAGTCATTTAATTCTTATTTTCTCCATGACACTGACAGTTAAAGGTTAATTTCATTAAACGTAGCTTTTTAAAAAATTGTTAATAAACATCAGGTCATTCTTCCTCTAATAACATTAAATTATAATTTATATTTTAACCATAAATTTTTAGCTGTTTCAGTCCTGCCATCATGTGATTTTATCCTGTTACTTGTACGGACCAAGAACAGTACCTGATGTGTAGCAGGCACTCAGTACATATTTATTTATTTGGTGAAGCAATGAGTGCTGTCAGCAACACAGTTACAAATACTTTCTTGTATTATTTTTGTAAGACACACCACCAAAGTCATCCATTAGATTTTACTAGTTTAATTCTTACAAGGATACCTTATTTTCAAGTTCTTAAGATTTATTTTTGATCCTCTGTATTAACAAAGACTAGGCTTTGAAAATTTTCAGTACCACTTTGCAGTCTTTTAAAATGTATCAAGCAACAAAACCAAAGTGAAGGCAGTTACTTCCTGGCTTTTGGCCGTGCAGCTGAATCAGATAACTATTTCTTTGACTTTGGAATTGTGGTTTCTTGAACTAACTCTAGTGATGTAAAAGATGAGTCTTACTAGGCGTTTCCTCTTTTATTTTAGAAGTGTACTTGGTGTTTTCTTGTAACTAGGTTTTTCCCAGGAAACATTTCTCTGAGGTCTCACCTCATCATCTCCTTAAAATGAAAACCTTTCCGGATATACAGATCCTTAGTGTATTTTATTATTGAGCTGTTACTCATATGTATTTGACATAGCCTTATGTCGTAATTTTACTTACATGTTATTAAAATATTCCAGAGCTTCTAAAGTAACTTCAGTCCCGTTCTGTCTCACTGATTACCAGATATCAGGTTACTCTCCTCCCACTTAGGGAGTTGTGAATGCTGATCCTTTTATTGGTTCCCTCTGGCCACTGCGCACATGAATAAATGTCACATGCATGTGGTATTACTTGTCTGAGTGGAATTCTAAGACTTCCTCTTATAGAAAAGTTTAACTTTGGTGCTTCTGACCAAAGGATGGTCCTGGGTTCAGTTCTCCTTCCAGCTAATAATTATGGCAGAGATCAGGACACGTTGCTTTGCTGCCTGTGCAGTGAGGCCTCAGGGTCTGCTCTCCCGGACTGGACAGGTATGGTTCAGAGATGATAGTTGGGGGAAGGTAAATAAGCACAAAACTCAGGTGTGAAGCGATACTTAAAAATTAGTATTACTATTTATCATCTTCATTCTTGGTCAGTGACGCTTAATGTGCCTTTCTAAAAATTTCATAGTAGAATCTTAATACTTGTTGAGTGGGAAGAATGTTAAATAATATGTAGTAATTTATTTTAAGATGTATGTGAAGAATGTAAACTGTATCAAAAACTACTGAAGAATTTATCCAACTAGCTAATAGATTTAAAGAGTGATATTAAAAATTATTAGCACCTTAGAGATTATATAATCAGATGAAGCATTTCTGGCAAGATAAATAAGTTTATAAAATACTTGAAAATGCCTAAACTGAAATTTTGTATTTTTAGTTTCTCCATGTACTATGCAACAGATTTCTAATTTTGCTGATAAAAATTATTGCATGACCAATTGGAGAAAAGTAAGTTTCAGAATTACCTCAGAATTTAAGTATAGTTTTAGTCTAGATTTTAATTTGTTTAATCATGATACTTTGTAGAAGTTGTTACTTCAATTTTCTTTTTGTTGTGTCCTAGAAGTGTATCAATAGAAAAATAACCAAATTACTAATTGTCATAAAGTATTTCTGCTACAAATATAAGTAGAATTCAGAGTCTTCTACTGTCTCACCTTATGTCCATGATCTACCTTTATATGAGTGATTAATTGGAAGATTAGTTAACTTGCTATCTAAGTTATCTTAACACTCAGTAGTCTCTTCACATTATTCTAAAATAAAACATTCTCAGCCTACACACTTTGGGCGGGCACAGCACATCTGAATCATCCATACGTGCCTATTGTAACTGATGAGAAAAATGGCAAAGACTAGACCCACTGGGCAACACTGTGACATTTAGATGCTTTCTTCCCACAGCCTTTTATTTTATCTTCTGTCTTTATTTCTTAGCTTGTTCCCCTCTATTTAGTTAATTTTTTGTGATTCAGTAGGTGTATATATTTTTGGCCTCAGAAAAATTTTGGGTCTTTTTCCTTTGGAAAAGTTTTTCTTTTGTTTTGTGCTAGTGGGTAGGATGGTGTTTCAGTGGATATCCTGTGCAGACGGATTATACAGGAAATTAACCCTCAGTTCTATGAGAACAAAACAGTGAGTGGGAAGAAAGAAGCAAGAAAGGAAGGAAGATCTTGTGACTCAACCAAACAGACGAGGGTGGAGGGGAGCAGGGAATGAAAACGACTGCTTTCCAAGCTGTGGTTCTTTAGTACTTTTACTTCAAAGATGGTTTTTATCCTATATTTATTACTTTGCATATTTGAGAAATATACCGTATGTTTGGCTTGTGTACTTTTAAACTTTACACAGAATTGTCCTTTGGGATCTCATTCTGCTTTCGCCTTTTGTCCAATGACATGGTCTGAAAGAGACGGACTTGCCTATAATAGCTGTCCTTTGGGATTGGAATTCTTCCCCAGAAGAGATAAACGACACGTTTACAGATATGTCCCCATATCCTGACAGTCGTCAATAGAATTCTTCAATTGATCTTAGTCAGAAGGCCGAGAAGCGATTAATAATAGAATTGGTGATCATCCTGGCTCAGTTTTGTTTCATATTCTGTCTTCTCATAGCATCCTCTATGAGTATGGCAGTTTGCATAATTTATTCATTTGACTTTTTATTTTGTTTGGTGGTACTGGAGATTGAACCCCAGGGCTTTGTGCATGCTAAGTGCTTTACCACTGAGCTACATCTGCAGTCCTTTTTTATTTGTTTTTATTTTCTTATTTTGAGGCAGAGTCTTGCTGAATTTGCTTAAAATAGCCTGAAACTTGTGATCCTTCTTTAGCCCCCTGAGTAGCTGGGTTAGAGGCGTATAGCTCTATACCTGACTCAACAAATCTTTTTTAAAAGCTTCATATATAGATAGATATTGTTTACTATTCAGTGAACAAAACAGAACGGTTCCTGTCCTTCCAAAATTTACATTCTATTGTGGGGAGTTAGACCATATGCATGAATATAATAATAAGTAAATTGTGCAGTATGGTTGCTGATCATAGGAGCTGTGGAGAAAAATCAGGAAAAGAGACACAGGAATGTGGGAATTTTCTTAGATGTACTTTAAGGAAGGATAGTCGGAAAATGCCATACTCAGAGTATTGAGTGAAGTGCCATGGGGACAAGTGTTTCAGGCAGAAGTAGAAGCCGGTGCAAAGATCCTGAAGCAGGAATGTCCCTGTCATGTTCAAGCAATAGCAATGAGGCCAGTGATCAGCATGGCGTAAGCTAGGGGAAGAAGATAAGAGAGAAACTGAGCAAGGCAAATTGTGAGGGGTTTTGCAGGCCCTATAACGATTTTGGCTTTTACTCTAAAATGGGGAGTCACTGAAGAGTTTTAAGCAGAGAAGTAACACAGTCTGACTTAGGCTTTTAAATAAAAGTATCTGCTGTGTTGATAATAAACAACAGGCAGCAAGTCTAGAGATAGAAACTAATAGAAATTCGTAGCTAATTAAATAACAGATATGAGATGATGGGGGTGACAAGGTGGTGGCAGTGGAGATGAGAGAAAGGGATAGATTCTACACATCCTTTTGAAGGCAGTTCTAATAGTTCTCAGTGGATTGGGTGGTTTGTGAGAGCAAGAAAGGAGTGGTTATAAAATTTTTGGTCTCGGCACCTACAGTGAAATTAACTAAATGGAGAATTCTGTAGCAGAAGGGGATTTGGGGTAGAGATGGGGGAATGGAAACTAGTTCTTCATATTAAGTTCAAATAGTGTTATTAGTGATTTCTAGTGTTTAAGTTTGAAGCCCAGCATAATTCCCAATATACATTAGATTTCCCCCTCAAATTCAAATCTTAAATTTAAATATATTGGGTTCACCAAGTAAGGTATATGCTATTTGTTGTCCTGAAGGGTTTAAGTTAGCTTCAGTGTCTGTTTTGTACTATAATATCTCTACGTGATCATAGATAGTTCAGAAGTTTTCCTCAGAGTTGATGTTTTCTTTTTCTTATATTTTCAAATGGGAGGTTTTTTTCCTTTTCTAAAAAGAATGAAATGTACTTGAAGCTGTTGATAATGACAGACAGAGCAATATTTAGAAAACACTGTAATTTATTACCACTGTCATGGGGAAAAACCATTTATCAGTATGGATCGTGTGGTGTTCATTGTGAATGATAATAAATGTAAATTTTCCCCTATATTTCCTTTTGGCAAGTCTTTTGATTTTAGTGAAAGACTGTCATTTTGTAATCTTTCATTTTTCATTAGAATAAAGTAAAATATAGAACATGCAAACCATTTAAAGAATGTTTCTTATAATATGGGACTTTGTGTATTTGGTAATCCTAAATTGGTTTTCTGGGCATATAATTCAACTGTTCCATTCACTGCAACTCTGTGTTTCAAGAAGGAGCAACAAGGGCTGGGGATTTAGCTCAGCTGTTTGTTGGCCTGCCTTGCAAGCCAAGGACCCGAGTTCAATCCCTGGTACCAAAAAAACAAAAAAACAAAACAAAGAAGGAACAACGTATCTGTTTTATTTATTTATTTATTTTTGAGACAGGGTCTCACTATGTAGTTGAGACTGACCCGAAACTCACTGTGTAGCCCAGGCTGGTCTCGAACTCACAACAATCCTCCTGCCTCAGCCTCCCGAGTGCTGGGATTACAGGTGTGTGCCACCATGCCCGGCTTTACTTTTTTTTTTTTTTTCTGTTTTAATTTTTTAAAAAAATAGTAAAACAACACTTTTAATTTATTAACATTTTTGAAATGGTCAAATTTTTAAAGTTTCAGTGTTAATATTTAATTTGAAAGTCTGTGCTCAGAGGAAACCATTTTATTCAGTATGGGAGAAGTTGAACAGCTTATCTAAGAAACCACTTGCTCTTCAATTAGCTTTCATCTTACTCTATGTTTTTAATTTGTCTGCATTGCAGTTTTTCGCTGTGGAGACCATCATCTCCTACAGCATGATGCAGCTGCCTCTGTTTAACTTTTCAGGACATCTTTAAGTTTAATAGTCTAATAAATGTAAAACAAATTTTGATTAACTCTAGAATTTTTAACATATACAGTATTTCCTTTCAGAATAGGGAGGCATGTGGTGAAGTGAAATAAACTCTTAAAATCATTGGGAAATTTGCAGATTTCAGCCTACAATAGAAAATTCTATCATGTAGTTGTGAAACCCCCTCCCCTGTACTTTATGGGTTGAACCCAAGGTCTTCACACAAAGCTACATCCCCAGCCCTATTTTAATTTAATTTAAGTAAATCTATTTATTTATTTTGAGACAAGGTCTCCCCATGAAGCTCACATTATCCTTGAACTCATGATCCTTCTCTCTTAGCCTCCCAAGAGTGGTAATTACAGATACGTGCCACTATATCTGGCTTCGAAGCCAATTTTTAAACACTGGCTAATGTGGGTGGTTTTGTTTGTTTGTTTGTTTGTTTTTTGTTTTTTTTTTTGGCTTTTTGAGACAGGGTCTCACTATGTAGTTGAGACTGACCTGGAACTCACTATGTAGCCTGGGCTGGTCTCGAACTCACAGCGATCCTCCTGTCTTAGCCTTCCAAGTGCTGGGATTACAGGCGTGCACCACCAGGCCCTGCCATAATGTGGTTTTTAAGGTTATGATGTATCATATTGTTTCCTGTCACATATTTTTGGGGTAAGTTAGTTCATTCAGCTAATATAGTACTTATTGAACACATTTAATCTTTGGTTCCCTTTCCAAAAAGATTCAGTTCTTAGCCTACAGAGTATATTGTGAAGTTTAGGAAACAAACATAGGGATTTGAAATAAAACCACATATTTAAAGGTTTTTCCTCTTCAAATATGATAAAACCAATTTTAAATTTAAATCGAGTAGAAGGCGACAGGCATAATAGAGAAAATTATACAACACAGACAGTTGGATAATTGGTCTTGGCAGATTGAGAGAGGGTGGTGAAGTTTGGAAAACCATAGAGAAGGTGCCAGGCTTTTGAGAGGACAGAGTTGAGGGGGTGTGAGCTTTCCCAGGGTGAGATTATTGATTCCTAGGGGAGCAGAGAGTTGTGAAATGAAGGAGGCTGACAGAACCCATTGCAGGTGTACCAGGCTGCACGAACAGAGGCCAGAGGTGGGAGGCAGCATCGTGCATGCTGAAGAGCTGTGGAGGAGTGAGAGCGGAAGCTGGAGCAGTAGGTCTTCACTTACTGGTCATGAGAAGTCTTGAAGGCCATGAAAAGGAGGCTTACAGCTTGGTGATGAACTGTTGAAATTTAAGAAAAGTGATGTGGTCAAATTTTTGTCTTAAATAGATCACTTTGCCAGCTGTGTGGAGGATGGATTTGAGGGGGACAAGACTGGAGGCAGTAGTCCAGGTGAGAGATGTTGGGGATCTGAACTAAGGTATGAAAGTAGAGCTAGAGAAGGGAATCGGCATAAAGTAGAATAAAGCACAGATTCGGGGGGTTTTCCCCTCAAATATGATAAAACCAATTTTAAATAAAATTTGAATGGAGAGAAGCATAATAGAAAACTATGATATGACAGACAGTTGGATAGTTTGCTTTGGCAGCAGCCACTAAAAAGTCTCAAAGATCAAGAAAATCCAAACTGGAAGAACAGTGGATTTCTTGTATAACTGACCTGGGCTATGGAAAACAGGTGATCTTTAAGATGATACAGAGATTACCTGTGTAGGATAAATAAATACAGAAGCTGTAAATTTTGAGGAAGAAATAGGTCTTACAGAACTTCAACAACTGCACAAGAGAAACTAAACTCAATGAATGCCCACTGACTGTGATGTTTTCTAGGACTGATTAAATTATCATCATTTTACAAAAATTACCCTGGAAAAGAAGTTACAGTTTAAAAAAATAAGTTATTAAAACTGAACAATTGTAAGCCATTATAACATAAAAAGATATTTTGTAGGGACAAGAATATTCTTCATTAAACCAAAGCATGCTCTTTCACTTATCAGATAATTTTAGGATTGTTTTGCCAGGAGCACTATTTCTATAATTTTTGATATAGAGTCTGGATTTATAATATACTTATAAAACATAACCATTTCTTATTCTACAATAGAATACTCTACATATTTTATAAAGCCAGCAGTCTTTAAATTTTTTGTTTTGAGAAACCTGTACCTTTGCTCTGAATTTATATCTGATTTTAGTAAATGCATTTAAATCAGAACTAAACTCTTGTTTTGTGGACTTTTCTCTATTTTGTTATATTTTCAACAAATAAATGGCAGCCTCATGCTTTGGAGATGCACTACCTACTTGCTCTGTCTTCATGACTCCACAAACTGTACAGTTCTGTCCCACTTTGGAGTTGTTAGTGTAGACCAGCCCCTAAAAATACTGTGTGTACCAATTTCTTTCCCTTGTGTCTTTCAGAAGCTTCGCACCGCCCCTATGGTTGTGATGTTGAATCCCAGGCACTAAATGAAGCCATCAGGTGGAGCTCCAAGGAGAACTTACTTGGAGCCACTGAGAGTGACCCTAATCTCTTTGTTGCACTTTATGATTTTGTAGCAAGTGGTGATAACACACTCAGCATCACTAAAGGTAAGGATTCTTCTGTGTAGCATCCTCTAACTTTCTAGCTTTCATAGTGGTTAAGAAATAAAAAGAGGCCTGTTTTGGTTTCTGCCACTAAAATTAATTGGGTGATTTGGGCCCAGAAGCTTATGTTTGTTTCATTCTTTTTTACCTTGTGTAAGATACTGCCTTATAACTCTACTTTATAAAACAAGTTAAAGCACCTTAGGAAAAAAAATCCCTATTCTCAGAACTGTGTGCTATATGTAATATGCTAGCATTCATCTACCACAAGGTAAGACTATACATCTGTTCTAGTTGAACTGTGTCTAAGATGAGTCAAAGTGCCAGGCCCCAGTGCTACTCAGAAACGCTATGTGTGGACTGACTGCCCATACGAGAACTGTTCATTACCAGCTCCACAGTAAGATTAAGAATTTGTACCCCAACTACATCATTAGGGACACACTGTTTTGTTCAGCAAACATTTTCAGTTTTGGAATAAGACTTTCTATACAAATATAATAGCCCAATGTTTACGTTGTGGACACAAGGCTCTTACCTCATCGTGGACCAGCTTTGAGTGGCACTGGTCTAGACAATCTAAATGTCTACCATTTGTTTTTCTAAGGGTTAATGAAGGAAATAGTAGGAAAGAAATAGTAGAAAGTAAATCTGTTGCAATAGAGAGTAGTAGTTTATTTCAGTAGCAAATTCTTACAAAAAGGGAATATTAAGAACACGACCAAGTAAAATCGCTAATTATTTTTTGAACAAGGATGAGAAAAGTGGAACTTTTTTGAGATTTAGGAAAATGGAGTCTTTCTCATTGTCCACATGAATTGGATGATTTGTAAGGGTCAGAACAAGGTTTCAGATGGTAATGGTTATCTTAAATCAATAAGACAAGCTTCTCCCCACTTAAGGAACATATTACCCTTTATATAAAATTTTTATATACATCAACTTATAAAATCAGTCAGATACATCAAAAGCAAAACTCCTTAAAACTGGGTTTCTCAAATTGATGTGTAGGTGTGTCCTGAGTGAGTGTGATTGCCATGTGTGCATGTGCCAGGAGTTTCAGAGACTTGGCAAAAGTAAAAGTACATTATCTTCTGGTATCATTAAAGATTTTGGGTAGTTTTAGGGCAGGGTGGTGATGATATGTGTATATATACAGGGATTATGTTTATGCAGTCAGGAAGATTTTACATAAAGTTTGAGGCTAGAATGAAGGACTTCACAAGTACTCTGCTATGTGGTAGTCTCTTTGGACAACAGTGTTTTACCCTCACTGAGACTTCAGTGAAGAAATTTGCAAAGCAGTGACTCAGAACATTCTTTCCTACGTATAATTTTCTTTTCAGTATTTTCCAAGATAGCTCTGTCACCAAGGAAACATTAATAAAGAAAGTCTGTTATTTCTCAGTTACCAGTTATAGCAACTAATAGTGCGCTTGCTGCCTAACGGACTGGGATTCCCTTTATTTCATGGCCAGCAGTAGCTTCTTTTAAAATCCATGAAATACCAGATTTTTATGTTTGATCTTACTAATATAAAATGATGTCATGCTAAAGCTACTTTATACTTTTAAAAGACAAAATATATTATAAAATTAAACAATTTGAAGATGATACTTTGCTTGAAGGAAAAAGAAAAATTGTGCTGGACCCACTGGTGCCTTGAGTGGCTGACGCAGGAAGATCACTTAAGCTCAGGAGTTGAGGCCAGCCTAGGCGACTTGATGAGATCTTGTCTTAGAAAAGAAAGGAAAGGGGCTGGGGATTTAGCTCAGTGGTTCTGCTGCCTGCCTCACAAGCGCAGGGACCTGAGTTCGATCCCTGGTACCAAAAACAAAAAGGAAAGTTCCTTTTAAGATTCCTCTGTCAAAAGCCCCAACATCTGCCTCTTTACTAGCTCTTGCCCTATTTATTTCCATGGTAGTAAAAAATAAAAACTCCTGGGCTGGGAATGTGGCTCAGTGGCACTGTGCCTGCCTGACAAGAGCAAGGTCCTGAGTTCAGTTCCCAGTATGAGGAAAAACAAAACTCCTATAGTAGAAAATTCTCCTATTAACAAGAAATGACTATATCCTTATTACAGTAGTCTGTAATTATCAATTCTATTTGAAGACATAGCAATGTAAAAAAATACACTCACAAACTTGGTCTTTACTTCTTATCCTTATAGGCCAATACAGAAAAGCTATAAAACAACATGTTTATTTTTCTTCTAGCAAGGTTCCTTTTTCCCTTTTTATTTTCTATAAGTATAGTTGTCAAGTATATACACAGGCGCACACACACACCACTGTGCCACGTACTGCTGTCTGTATATAGTGTATGTGTGTACATACACATTTTTGTGTTTTTTCTCATATCCAGATGTCTCAGATGAGATAATAGAGGATGATAGAAAGTTATCTTATGGTAAACATTGCTATAGGCCATTAGTCAAAGATAGATGGCTACCAAAATAATTATTTTGAAGTTTTCCTCAGTAGCCTTTGCTGGTAACTTCTGGGCCATATGGTTCTGATGAATTTGACTTTCTTTTTCCTTCTAACACTGAAAAAATAGGTGTGAACTCTGTAGGAAGACTTGCATCTCTTCAGAGATAAGAGCCTGGGGCACTACAATGATCCTTAGATTAACATTTCTGTATTGCTAGTGATATCTCTTTTACCATTGTTGTTTTTCCAAGAAGCTTCTAATCTCCACGAATATAAGGGGAAAATGTATATTGTTACCTACGTTTGATGTTCACAACTTGAATAGAAAAATCAAGGACAGTGAAGTTGACAGCAGAGATGCACTAAGTGACTTTGGATTTGGACTCCAACTTAGGGTCAGCTTCCCTTCCCACACACTAATTTTAGAGGAATGGGTAGGAGTGAGTCATTCTTTATGGAGAATGGGAAGGGAAACAACTATATTGGGAAACTATTTTAAAACCGAGTCCTGGAAATGATTGTGTTTTAGGAGTCCTCACTGCCTACCCCTTGTTCCACTAAACACTTTTCTTGCCGAGAAAAACATTTCTGAAAACTCTGATCTGTGGTTTTGTATGTTTGTTTACACTGATAGCTTGGAGTGGGGAGTTGTTGAGACAAAGTCTCACTATGTAGTTGAGACTGACCTGGAACTCACTATGTAGCCTAGGCTGGTCTCGAACTCAAAGCGATCCTCCTGCCTCAGCCTCCCAAGTACTGGAATTACAGGCATGTGCCACCACTCCTGGCCTACACTGATAGTTTTATTGCCTGTTTCAAGAGAAGTTTAGAAGTAACTTTGTATTTCATATGTCTTTTCCCTAATCCTGGTTTATTGTTAACACTGAACCATATAAACTATTTTGACGGAGAGTTTATTTTTCTTGCACTATCATATCTAGTCATTTCAGTGATCTTTGTATGCCATACAGTTTCATGAGGACATTTTTTAGATGATATATATAAGTCTTTAAAAATCATTAAGTACCAGAAAGCCGTTTCTGACTGTGTTCGTGAAGTTTAAAGCTACTAACTAAAGAGATGTCAGGATGTGGTGAGCAGCCAGCTGTTTTTTCATCATTTAAAAAAATTGGCACATAAAAGTCTTTGATCCAGTGAGTTTATAGTTTGACATTACTCTACATCCATTTGAAATAAAATCTTAACTTCTTTCCTTTCATTCTATGATGACTCCATGACTAGGTGAAAAGCTGCGAGTCCTTGGTTACAACCAGAATGGTGAGTGGAGTGAAGTTCGCTCTAAGAATGGACAGGGTTGGGTGCCAAGCAACTACATCACTCCAGTAAATAGCCTGGAAAAGCATTCCTGGTACCATGGGCCAGTGTCACGCAGTGCAGCAGAGTACCTACTCAGCAGCCTGATTAATGGCAGTTTCCTGGTGCGAGAAAGTGAGAGCAGCCCCGGGCAGCTGTCCATCTCGCTCAGGTACGAGGGCCGTGTGTATCACTACAGGATCAATACCACCACAGATGGCAAGGTAAGTCTTGCCAGTAACCACCTCTAGGTGTGGGCTGGCTGCTCTGTAGAAACAATAAGTTGATAATGTGGACTGTAGTTTTTAATGTCCAATATGAAATTAAATTTTTTGTGTGTGAGTTCAGGTTATTTGGCATGTTAGAGAGAATTTGCTGTTTTCAAAAACAGTACAGTAATTTAAATTCAGAAGAAATATATTAATAAAGATAAGCTAGATTTGAAGGTAATGAAAGAAACTATGTAAGTTAGCTGTTCTAATCAAGTCGCAGATACACGTTAAATACATTGGTGTAAAATTTCTAAATTAACCTTGTGTAGTTGAAAATTAGAATGAGCTTTAATGCAAGTTCACAGAATAATACTTTAGATTTCTTTTCTTTTCTTTTTTCTTTTCTTTTTTTTTTTTTTTGTACTGGGGATTGAACTTGGGCCCTTGCACTTGGAAGGCAGGTGCTAAAATCGAAATCCCCGGCCCAGTAATTTAGATTTCTTGAGACTGGTGTTGATCATTAATTTATGTTAATGTAAGTAGATCATTCAGTCATTTAGTAGTTTGTATGTTGGGAAGACCAGCCATCTGAGAATAAATGTGTTATAATGAAACTCTTGTATTTTATAACATTTCTCTTCTATTGAACAGTAATTTAGGTTGAGTCCTTTTTTTTTCCATTCTTCCCCTCTGTGTGGTATGCATCATAGGAGAAAAGCATGGACTTTGGAGCAAGCATCATTTTTTGACTTTGTGACCTTACATAAGCCTCACTTTCCCTATTATGAAATCCTACTTGTCATAAAATTGTGTAAAGATTAAATAACATTATTTCTGTAAAACATAACTGTTGGTACAAAGTAGATTGTTAGTTCTCTGTTTTTGCACCATCATACATACATGCATAGTATGTTGCCCTGTGGCTCAGATAGAATCAGTAAGTCATAATGTAAGAGAGACTCAGCAGTTCCAACAGAAATGAGCACACATGTGTGCCAGAAGATACATACAGGAATCTTTACAACAATAGGTAGCCCAAACTGGAAACACCCAAATATCTAAGGATAGTAGACTGGATTAATAAATTGTGGTGTGCTGATAAAATGGAATCTCTGATAACAACAGAAATGAAGATAGAGTTCTACACAAAGCATCACAGGAAAAACTATGGCCTGCCAGCTGCCTACTTTTATAAATAAAATTTTGCTGTAATACAGTCACATCTATTTATGTACTAAATTATAGCTACTTTCTATTACTAGGCAGAGCTGAGTATTGCAACAGAGACCTTATAGCCATAAACCAGCAATACCTGTCTTTCCTCCCTTTATAAAAGTTTACAGGCCCTGTTATAGATGAACCTCATGCATGTAAGACTGGTTGGAAGGGACTGGTGATTGCCACAGGTTTGGGAGGGGATAAATATGATTTTCCTTCCAAGGTAATGGAAACATTTCGGAATTTAGATAGTGATGGTTGGACAACTTTGTAAATATACTAGAAAATTACTGAATTGTACAAATGGTGAATTTTATGGTATGTGAATTATACTGCAATAAAAATTGAGTGAAAGAAAATCTCAGATAATATATATTGTATGATTTCATGTGCATATGGTTCAAGTAAAGCTAATCTAAGATGTTAAAAATGAGTATAGAGGTTACTTTTGCAGGAAAATTCTTGGTGTGGGTAATATTTGCATACAGAGTTTATTTTTAAACATCATCAGTTCTCCATTTGTGAATTGTATTCTTGTGTGTGTACAATAAAACAAGTTTCTTTTTTAAAAGCAACAAACTCCCTTGGAAGGTGAAGATAAAGCTGAAGACTATTATCTTACTTGATCCTTCTTATTGCTTAATGCTCTGAAGTCCAGTTATAGTTCTTTTTAAAAAATGGCCTCAATATTTAAAAGCACATTGTAATTAAAATTATTAAGATAAAATTATAATACCCTCCTCCTCATGCTCTGTGCAAAATTCTTATGTAGCATTTCTTTAACTTAGTTTACCAATCCCTGCCGCCTACTTTATTCAGAACATCTCTTTTTAGCGTTCTTATATATTTGAATTCTACAGTCCTGTTGCTAAGAAATTACTTGGAGACCAGTGAATTTGATGATCCACAGAAAAACATTGAAAGTTTTCCCCAAGTCTGAGTTAATTGAGGAAGAGTAAGAAGGGTTGTTTAAATAAAATTTGAGCTTTACACTTTGGGAAGCTGAGGAAGGAGAATTCCAAGTTCCAGCCCAGCATGGGCAGCTTAGCAAAATAATGAGACTCTGTCTCTAAATGAAAAAAATAAAAAAGGGGATGTAGCTCAGAGCAGAAGACTTAGGTTCAATCCCCAGAATGGCAAAAAACAATCAAGTTTTATGTTTGCCCTTGCCACCATCATTTAACTATGTACCTCAATTAAGATAACCTCCTATCTTGTATCTTCAGGCCAGTGAAATATGCGCGTTTTTCTTTTCTTTTCTTTTTTGAAAACTCCTAATCTCTTTTCAGGTTGTTTAGTTTTAGTGTTTATTTTTTCTTTTCTTGTCAGGTGTATGTAACTGCTGAGAGCCGCTTTAGCACCTTGGCAGAGCTTGTTCACCATCATTCCACAGTGGCTGATGGGCTGGTGACAACATTACACTACCCAGCACCCAAGTGTAATAAACCAACAGTCTATGGTGTGTCCCCCATCCATGACAAATGGGAAATGGAACGAACAGATATTACCATGAAGCACAAACTTGGGGGCGGTCAGTATGGAGAGGTTTATGTTGGTGTCTGGAAAAAATATAGCCTTACAGTTGCTGTGAAAACATTGAAGGTGGGTTGCTGAGAATTACAGTTTTCAGGCATCTTTTTGTGTGTGTGCTGAATCACTTTGAAGTATCAGTATGCCCTTCTTTAACTTTGGAACTTTCCACCCACTAGTGCCAAACACATCAGCAAATTCTAATGATTAACCTTAGTGCCTTTGCTGACAATGCAGGAGTAGATTAACCTACATGTGGGACAGGTTTGTCTCTGGGGAGACTTTCCATGTATATCTTTGTGGGAATTTAGAAGCAAATTATGTTATAAAGGAAAACAGTAGTTATGCTTCCTGAGAGTGACTCCTGGTGGACACAGAGTTCTTTATGCATTGTCTAAGAATCACGGGTGCTTTCTTACTGTGTGCTTTCTCTCTTTGACTTTTGCTCTTCCCATTTCCATGCAATTAGATCACTTCTTTTTCTTCAATTCACAGAAATGTTTTTCCTGACACTACCCTGTCTCTTCTTTAAGCATCCTGGTATCAATTATAGGGTTGTTTGCCAGGCTCCATTTCTTCTATTTTGGAGGCTCACATGGCTCTGTCACAGCCTTCTGTTGCCTTGTGACCTACAGGAGTAGAAGATCCACAGGCAAATTGCTAGAAACCCTAGAAGACAGAGATATAACTGTCCAACCCCAACTAAACTTGAGTAGGTTGAAGTGGCAGACAATACCTCTTGACAAATAAAGCCTAGATCACATCACCTGGAAACAGAACCTAACTAGATATTTGTACCAGCAACAGAATTTCTTCACATATTTAACCTAACCCTCAGCACAAAAAAACAAGGCAACAAGATCCTGTAAAGGCTCTAACTCTCCCAAATCAGATCTAAGGTGTACTAATGAAAGGAAGTCAAACATCACATCTCTAAGCTATACAAAATGATCAAAGAAGACACAAACAAAATATGTGAACTCAAATTATCACCAAACAGGTAGAGGAACTAACAAATCGATCATTGTAGTTAAAGAAAAGTCACATAAAAAATCAAAACTATTTAATATATGAATGATAAATTTACCAAAGAAATAGCATCCATGAAGAGGTACTAAATGAGTATCATGGAGAAAAAAAAATGTTGACTATATCTGAATAGCAGAAATGACCTATGTGAGGAGAGTATTGGGCTTCAAGGACAGATTGGAAGCACAAAATAATATACTCAGAGATACCTAAAAAAAAGGAAGATTGGTCAAATAGCTGTGAAACGATGCTAAGACTAACCTGAGAAGTTAGAGAAAAATTGGAGGGCAGCATACATGGAATAAAAAATCCTACTTAAAGAAATCATATCAAAAGACAAAGTCTGGAGAAAGAATTTACTACATATAGGTGAAGCATATAGAGCTCCAAATAATTATGAAGAGTGAAGAAGCTCCTCATGGCATATAGTAAAAAATCCCAGAAATCCAAAAGGAAGGCAGAATCTCAGACACTTTCAGAGAAAAACGATGACTCACTTATAAAAGTAAACCTGTTAGGAATAGAGCAGGCTTTTCAGCAGAAACTTTAAAAGCTAGGAGAGTTTGGAGTGTTTCAAGACCTAGAATAAAACAACTTTAAACTCAGATTAATATATCCTGCAAAATTATGTGTCATAATTGACAGAGAAATAGAACAGCCCAGTGAAACAAAATCTTTTCCAACAGAAATTGTACGTTCACCTGGACATTAACACACTTATAATATCCAGTGGATCACACAGAGGAAATTAAGGAAGAAATGAAATAATTTCTAGAATCAGACTGTAATGCCAGTACAACATACCAGGGTCTGTGGGACACAATGAAGAGTCCTAAGAAGTTTATTGTTTTGAATGCTTACAGTAAAAAACTCCCGAGAGCAAGCTCAAATAAACGACCTAATGATACACCACCTCAAGGTCCTAGAAAAACAAGAATAGTCCAAACCTAGTACAGTGAGGGAAATCAGAAAGATCAGAGTGCAAATTAATGAAATTAAAACTAAAAATACAGTGCAAAGAATGAGTTGAAGAGCTGCTTCTTTGAAAGAATAAACAAAATAGCCTAATTTATAAAGGAAGGAAATAAAAAATCCACATCAGTACAGTTAAAAATGAATGGCTAGCACTTGGGGGGCAGAGACAGGAGGATCACCACAAGTTCATGGCCAGCCTGTACTACATAGCAGGACTCTGTCCAAAAAAGAGAGAAAATGACAAAATCACAGTGGAGAACCCTGCCCAAATCCAGAACATCATTAGTAAATACTATGAAAAATTATATTTCCAACAAAAAATCGTGAAGAAATGGACAGATTCCTAGACACATAGGAATTACCAAATCTGAACGAAAAACACATAAACACCATAGAGAGTCAAATAACAGTGAAATTAAAGCAATAATTGAAAACCTACTGACCACAAATGCCAAAGACCCAGTGAATTCACTAGTGTATTCTTTTTTTTTGATACAGGGTCTCACTATGTAGTTCACACTGCTCTGGAACTCACTGTGTAGCCCAGGCTGGTCTCGAACTCACAGGATCCTCTTGCCTCAGCCTCCAGTGCTGGGATTATAGGCATGCACCACCACACCCAGCCCACTAGTATATTCTAAAAGAATTTAAAGAAAGATAAAATGCCAATGTGCTGCAGAACTCTTTAATGAAATTGAAAGGGAAGGAGTACTTCTAAACTCATTCCTGGAAGGTACCATTGCCCTGATTTCAAAATCAGACAAAGTCCCAACTGAAAAAGAAAACCACAGACTAATCTTTCGGTACATAGATTAAAAAAAAAAAACACAAAAAACCTTTAACAGGATACTGAAAAGCAGAACGCAGCAAATCACCAAAAAGATCATACATCATGACCAAGTAGGCTTTATTCCAGGAATGGGAAAATGGTTCAAAATACACAAATCAATAAATGTAATATACCACATAGGCAAAAGTAAGGACAGAAAAAAATCACACGAGCATCTCAATAGCTGCAGGAAACAAAAAGTTAATTGCTAAATATTAAAAGATACTTCCTTCTACTTTTAAAGCTAAAATTGTAGGATTGTGAGTTAACTCAAAAGATTAAGAAGGGGTCATGTTCCTCTCGTTTTTTTCTTTCTTACTTTATTCTTTTTCTAGGAAGATACTATGGAGGTAGAGGAGTTCCTAAAAGAGGCTGCAGTGATGAAGGAAATCAAGCACCCTAATCTGGTCCAACTATTAGGTAAAGATGTTTGTCCCTTAGCCCCTTTTCTTCAAATTCTTCTTTTGAATCACAGTGGAAACTTCAAGTTTAAATCATCTTCACTGAACGATTGTCACAGGTTGAAGATGTACTCGAGTGGTAGGCCACTTGCCTAGCACAAGTAAGGCCCTGAGTTGGTTCCCTAGCACCACACAAAGGACATAAAAAAACAGTGGTAGATGGGTTGGGGATTTAGCTCAGTGGTTCTGCTGCCTGCCTCCCAAGTACAAGGACCCAAGTTCAATCCCCAGTACCCCCCCTCCCAAAAAAAACGACAACAACAAAAAAACAGTGGTAGAGTGCTTACCTAGCATGCTCAAGGCCATAATTTCAATCCGCAGTACTGAGGCCTCCCTCCCCATTTTAATCAGCTCTGAATGGCCTGTGTTGATTCTAAAGTAAACTCCATCTTAGGGCGATCAGAGCTCAGAAGCATTTAATATGGTACAAAACATTTTGACAAAATGCAAAGATTATTCTACAATAGAAAAGAAGCAGATTAAAAATTGTGACCACAGCCGGGTGTGGTGGTGCACACTTGTAATCCCAGCACTTGGGAGGCTGAGGCAGGAGAATCACTGTAAGTTCAAGACCAGCCTGGGCTACATAGTGAGTTCCAGGTCAGTCTCACTACATAGTGAGACCCTGTCTCAAAAAACAAAACAAAACAAACAAAAATTGTGACCACAGCCATCAGTTTTGCAAAGCAAGCAGGAAATGCTGTTACTGGAATAGATTAGCTTACGTGTTGAGGTCACAGAGAAACCTTTAACTAAGCCTTTTGCAAAATGGGCGAGTTTCTTTTTTCTCATTTGGCCAAACTGTCTCGAGGAAATGGTTTATTGTTGATTCTTTATAAGGAACTATGATAGAGGAATGAAATCCTCGTCTACAGAAACAGTTAAAATATTTTTATAAGCATTGCTACAGGGCTTCCATCGTCTTCAACATAGGCACCGCTGTATTACTTTCAGATACTCATTGTCAGCATGCATTTGAGGAGGGGACTCACGGGCATGTATGAACTGGAAGTTTTAGTATTCTGGTACTAAATTTTAGTAACCTTACAGAATTAATACAGGTAACTCTCCTTTTCCTCAAGCAGGCAAATACTCAAAGGCATATATGAATTTTTAGAAAACAGTAGAAGCAAAGAATCCCTTATCAAACAACTTCTTATTTTTTACCATATTGTATATTATTTCCAGAGAATATGGTGGTAAGAAGGGGATAAAATTGCTGCCAAACTGGATCTAAACATTGTCATATTCTTGGCCAGAGTGGTCTGGCTGATTTGAATATGTGCTGATAAAACAAGTTCTGTCCTTCTGCCAGGTGTGTGCACTCTGGAGCCACCGTTTTACATTGTAACGGAATACATGCCGTACGGGAATCTGCTTGATTATCTCCGAGAATGCAACCGAGAAGAGGTGACTGCAGTTGTGCTGCTTTACATGGCCACTCAGATCTCTTCTGCAATGGAGTATTTAGAGAAGAAAAATTTCATCCATAGGTGTGTAAAGTAAAACCTGACTGTTGCATTGCCTGTGACTGGGCTGCGGAGCCATCTTGCTTGACATAAAGATGAAAGGAAGAAAAAAAAGATGAAGGGAAGAAAACCTCCGAAATTTTCAGATGATTTACGAAAGTAATTCTATATTTCACAGGGCCTATTATAAAGTTATTTCCAACCCTTAGACCTCTTTTACTGATAGAAGTATTGAGCGACTTTTTTTTCTCAGTACTGAAAGCTGTTTTTGCACAGCACCGTATCCAAGACACTTACTCCATCTAGTGGCTGAATTTTTTAAATAGCATTCTGTTTTACTAAAACTAAAATGTTTAAAGCCTTGTAGAATAGAAAAGCATCTATTGTTCCTCTATCCCAATGTGCTTATACAGAGAAACTTATTTTATTCTGCCTTCACATAACTGCCTCTTGATGAGTATTCTACAAATGATATATATAAATTAGTAGCTCTCTACCATGTTAGTGATTATCATAAAATACTACATCTGTCAGCACTTACCAACTGCTTATAGCACAGAGAACCAAGGATAGAGTATTCATAACCATTTTCTTACCGTTTGAATGTAATCACATTAGGGTTTTCTTTCCCACAGAGATCTTGCAGCACGTAACTGCCTAGTGGGAGAAAATCATGTGGTAAAAGTAGCTGACTTTGGCTTAAGTAGACTGATGACTGGAGATACCTACACTGCTCATGCTGGAGCCAAGTTTCCCATTAAATGGACAGCACCAGAGAGTCTTGCCTATAATACCTTCTCAATTAAATCAGATGTCTGGGGTAAGATTGTAAGGGATTTCCTACATGTGTTACTGTTTTTTTCTTTTCTTCCCTCCTTCCTTCTTTCTGTCCTTCCTTCCTCTGCATGTGCCTCTCTCTCTTTTTCTACCTCCCTCCCTCCCTGGTACTGGTGATTGAACCCAGGGCCTTCACACTGAGCTACATTACCCTTTTGTGTTTGGTTTGGTTTGGTTTGGTTTGGTACCAGGGACCAAACTCCAGCCCTTGCACTTGTGAGGCAGGCGGCAAAACCCCTGAGCCAAGTCCCCAACCTTATTTTTTTATTTTGGGACAGGGTCTCCCTAAGTTGTGCATGCTGAGCTTGAATTTGAAGTATTTTTTTCCCTGGCCTCTCAGAGTGCCACCACAACCAGTTTATATTGTCTTTATAAATGCCCTAATTTTGTTTTTGGGTGGTGGAGGGATTGAATGAAGACACGGCCCTATAATGTAATTCAGGCTGGCCTTGAACTGGCAGGATCCTTTTGCCTCAGCCTCCTGAGTTCTGGGATTACAGGCATGTGATCTATAAAGCATCTATAAATGCCTTAATCCTTTAGAGCTTCTCTTTTGTATGATGATCAAAAAAAGTATTGCAGCTGGGCATAATAACAGTCTGTAGTCTTATGAGGCTGAAGCAAGAGGATCACTTGAGGCCACAAGTTCAAGACTAGTCTGGGCAACATAGCAAGGTCCCATGCCAATAAAAAGTCTGTGTCTTTGAAGAGGTCACAGTCTATATCTGAAATTGAATTTTAATGATTATTTCTGTAAAGCTGGCTACTTTTCACATTGTTTTATTGCTCATTTGCAAAGCTCAATGACACAGAAAATTGTGTTCCAGGGAAGCATTATGCTAGTTTGTCTTTATAACTGATCTTGTTTATACTGCTCTGAGAAGCAGAATGACTTTGTAGAGGATTAGTAAATTGGACAAGTCAGGACATTTGGGTTATGGGAAAATAGAAATAGTTATAGGAGTCTAAGTCATTTTTTACCAGAAAGCTCAAGTACAGAGTTAATGGAATTTTGACAAAATCAAGCACATTTTTTTTACTATGAATTTTACCTGAGTCAGTTTTTTTACTGTTATTAGCTGACTTTGAAATCATGAAACATGTAATTATAATCATAAACAAGCACTTGGGAGACTGAGGCAGGAAGATCTCAGTGAGTTTGAAGCCAACCTGGGATGCCTAGTGAGTTCAAGCCTGCCTGGACTATATAATAGCAAGACCCTGTTTCAAAAAAAACAAACAAGAAAAGGTCATGAAACGTGGCTGGGTGTGTTGACATACATTTATAATCCCACAGCTCAGGAGGCTAAAGCAGGAGGATCACCATGAGTTCAAGGCCAGCACAGTCTACATAGTGAGTTCAAGGCCAGCATGGACTTATAGCAGGACCCTGTCTCAAAACAAAAACAAATAAAACAACTCATGAAATAAATCAAAGACTGTTCTAAGATTAGTTGGATTATGCTGCAGGCTTTTTATATGATCATAGTATATTTTCCCTGACTGTAGTAAAATAAAATTAGGATGTGTACAGAGAATTGTCTTAAAATGCTCTATAGCATTCCTGTGAGAGATATCTTAGGAAGACAGGTCATGCTAAGAATTGGTAAAAGGATATGTTAATATTGTAACAGTGTTTGATCATGATCCAAAATTTAAAGACGAGATATCTAATGATATAAATAATAAATCAAGACAAAACATTAGGCTTTTTTCTTAATCCCTTACGCAGCTTTTGGGGTACTCTTATGGGAAATTGCTACATATGGAATGTCACCGTATCCAGGTATTGACTTGTCTCAGGTCTATGATCTGCTGGAAAAAGGATATCGAATGGAGCAGCCTGAGGGATGTCCCCCTAAGGTTTATGAGCTTATGAGAGCATGTGAGTATTTTTGCATACTTTGATTTTGAAACACCAGCCAGTGGGGGTGATTAGCAAAATTTGAAACACTTTTCCTCTTACTGTTGTTAGATTGAATTTAGCTTCGTGACATTTAAATAGTGTGTCATTGTTCAGCCAGTTGGCATAGTATATGATACACCATTGAGTCTTTTGGAATCCTAAGAATAGTTGTCTGTGGCCCAAATATCTATCTAGTTTCTTGAAAATATTTGTATATATAATAAGATGATAAGAAATTGTATTTGCATACTAAAGTAGGAGAGTGCTACTTTCAGCTAAATAAGAATATAAAAATTATGGAGAATTCATAAAAGTAACCTTCGTGACAAGTAAACAAAAGCTTTGGACCGCTGGAAGATGAGAAACTAAGAAGTTCAGTAGTAAATTGCAGTTGTGTTCAAATACACGTTTTATATTATTTTCTCATTGAGCATTGGTGTTTGTCAATGTGAATTCTAAGCATCTTTTTCTGATTCCCTATTGAATTAGATTATATACACTTGATTCTTTATTATAAAGTCAGACTTTGTAAAGTTTGAGGGCAGGTTTGTTTTTTTAACTCCATTTCTATTAAAAAAAAAAAAAAAAAAACTCGCCATTGTAAAAAATCATTTCCTTGCCTTTCCTCATCCTTATAGTAGAGGGAATGCGAACCGAGGACCAGGCTCAGGAAGTGAGTTCTTTTATTTCTGAGTTTAGAACTGAGAAGCAGTTGCATCACTACCATAGTGAAGACACTGTGACTAATAAGCGTGCGTGATTTTAGAGTGCTACGGGGTACACATAATTGTGGTGAGGAGCTTTTAATACTGTTTTACCTGTCCTACAGGTTGGAAGTGGAGCCCTGCTGACAGGCCCTCTTTTGCTGAAACCCATCAAGCTTTTGAAACCATGTTCCACGACTCTAGCATTTCTGAAGGTGAGCGTCTGGTGAATGAACTGTTGGTAGATAGTGTAGCGCGGGGGTGACAGTCATTACTTTCAAAAATGGACAGCCCCTCCAGTTTGTGTCTGTTTCAAGATACCAAGGTAATAGTTGGCCTTTATTATTCTTATGTGCCCTTTTTGAAATATGACTTACTTCTCTGTCTTGTGTATTTAATGTTGAAATTACATTTTTATTAGAAATTAATTCACTCTCACTATAAATAATATTAATGTAGTTAATGGTAGTTCTTTACATATCATTTATGATAAAAGGAATAAAAGAAGAAAATACAGAGTATAAAAATAATTCTCTTCAAGACAAAATCAAGTGGTAAAAGCAGTATCTAGAAATTTTACTTCTGGAATTTATCTAAGGATATAATTAAGAGAACAAAAGTACATCAGTGTACTTTAAAATACTGAAAAACTAAGAATAACTTAAATATCTAGTGCGTTAAATAATAAGCTTTCTTTAGAGAGTTAAAAATATATACTTCCTAGTTTCATCTGCCTAGTAGATACTGTGATAGTAGTTTTGATATTTTGTACATATTTTTCAAATATTTCCTATCCTTCGTAAGTGAAAAGAGTTGACTAAGTTCCCGTTTTAAAATATTCAAAGAGGAGATCAGGCAAGTTGATTCTTTTGTCTGCTTCTCTTAGTGATTTATCAGCTAAAGGGACATCAACTAAGTAGAAAGGGAAAAGAGAAGCATAGTATCAGAGCTTAATGAAAAATACTTTCTTGCCCTTTGGTATATTACACTTGTATAAGTTGAAGAGGTCACAGCTGGCCCTAGGGACTGAGGGTACATGCCGGTCACAGCACTCTCCTACATGCTTTATTTCCTATGGGGTCAGAGTAGTAGAATTGGTGAACATCAGCCAGAACATAGGGTCCGTTTCTTAGTAGTTTTTCATCAACTTCTAATCTCTCTTGAGTCCTCAGTTTATTATTTCTGCTTCTCTTAAAAATGAATCCTTTTTTTCTGGGTGTGGTGGCGCACACCTGTAATCCCAGTGTTTGGGAGGTTGAGGAGAGAGGGTCACTGTGAATTTGAGGCCAGCCTGGGCTACATAGTGAGTTCAAAGCCAGCATGAGCTACATGGTAAGACTCTGTCTCCAAAACAAAATGAGTCCCTTTAGAACACCGACACATCAATTTTTAAAGACTAGCTTCAATTCACCATTGTTTTTTAAAGGAATTTAACATTATTCAACCCACGTTTTATTGATTGTTTCATCTGAGGCAGGCTCTCTACTAGGTCAGGAGACACAGATACGACAGACATAGCCCCTTGTACTGGTTAGCTTTCCTGTTGCTGGTCAAGATTCCTGATATCAGCAATTTAAAGGAGCGGTTTATTTGACTCAGGTTTTAGAGATTTCAGTCCGTGGCTGCCAGGGTTCGAGGCAGAAATATGGCAGAAGGAAGCAGAGCAAGGAAACAGCACCAGCTGGAGATACACCCTTTAAAGGAGGCCTCCACCTAGACACAGCCAGAAGTGTACTTTACTTCTCTGCTTTGCGTCTCTTAATCCAGTCAGGTGTTGGCAGTCCCATCTCTACACTGAAAAGGATGGATTTATTAGTCAGATGTAAGTGAAAGAAAACTTTCTTAGGCAATAAAAGGAAGGTTTATTGGCTTATAACCAAACTGGGAAATAGAGATGGTTGAAGCCACGGACTCAGGTAGCTTCCCCTCACTCCCACACTCACTGCCATCCACTTTCTACCGACTTCTGCTTCTGCATCGATCATCTCAGATGCTCCCAAGTGGTGTGGGACATAGTTGCCAGCATCACTGGGGTCATATCTTTAGCGCTCATGATCAGAGTAGAGATTGGCTCCAGATGCTGTGCCTTATATAAGAGAGGAATCCCACTGGTATGGCTTGGATCATGTGCCATGTATCCACCCTGAGAGGCTTAATTTACAACCCAAAAAGTTGTAAAATAATTATAAAAATTCACAACTTAATTCATCTTAATTACTTCATTTTTATTCAGGAATGGATAGCAAAGTAGCAAAGTATGTCTTTGCCTCAGTAAAGGCTATGAAACCCATGGCCAAGCTGTAAATCAGGCAAAGCCTACAAATGGGACGAACACTTTTTCAAGAACCTGAATTGTAATTACACTCCTTTAGTGCAAGGTACAATCTAAAAATTAAAATATCTGTAGACGTCTGTCCACTTTGTTCACTCTGTATAGGCACTTGGTAAGTGAGGATTTCCAGCTGACCACGAAGCGTGTGAAACTACGCTCAACGTCCCTCATCTCTAGAGAGCTACAGATTAGACCCTAGCCGGATATTATGACACGACTAGCAACATGGCTACAGTTGCAATCATACGCAAATTTCCAGTAGGATGGGCAAGCTTGCCAAGAAAGCAGAACCGTTATACTCAGTAGTGGGTGTATAACTTGTTAAAGCCATTTTGGGACAATTGGGCAGGACCCAATAGAGCTGATTGCATGTGTACCCTGTGACCTACCAGTTCTCCTACGTTTGTGCAAAACAGATGTACGTAGAATGTGAACCAAAAGACATGTAGGAATCTGTTCCTAGCAACATGTTCATATTAGTTAACAACTGGAAAGAGCCTAAACACCAGTCAGGAGGAAGACAGGTGACTTTTAGTACAGTCACACTTTGGAATGCTACACAGCAGTGAGAAAGAAACCCTGCCAATTACAACAGCATGTGCTTCTACAAACATTTTGTTGAGCAAGGGAAGCCAGACAAAGGAATACATTCTCAGCAATAACACTTATAGTTAATTAATTAGGGATGGCATCTCACACTTTGGGCTCAAGCATTTCACCTCACCCATCAAAGTATGTGGATCCACAGGCACATGCCGCTGTGCCCTGCTGCGTTTCTGTACTCTTCTGTCCTCCATTTCTTTTTCAGTTTTACTTCTTTTCTCCATCACAAAATTGTTGTCTCTATCAGTGCTGTTGTCTTCTTCGCAGAGGTAGCTGAGGAGCTCGGGAGAGCTGCCTCCTCCTCGTCTGTTGTTCCGTATCTGCCCCGATTACCTATACTTCCTTCCAAGACTCGGACGCTAAAAAAGCAGGCAGAGAACAAGGAGAACATTGAAGGGACGCAAGATGCCACAGAAAATCCTGCGTCCAGTTCAGCACCAGGTAAGGGGCGCAGCCATGGAGATGAAAATAGAAACTGCTTACTTAGAGAGCACAGGTGTGGTGCTTTTGTGCCCACCTTCCCTGAGGACAGTATGGCATCTATTTTACCTCCCTCTTTACTCCTTGGCCAGTTGTAGTCATTGCTAGCAGTCCTGATCTATCAGTCCAAAGTGCAACTCTGCCACTACTCCATTTCCAGATAGTTACTGTCTTCATAGTTCTAGGAAAAACTTTTTCACTGAACCTGTAAGTGTGGCCAGTTGTGTTCATTTTTAGGACAAGTTAAGTACTGAGCTAATAAGCAGCAGACTACTTTCCCCATTTATATCCCTATCATATTTGGAATCCTAACCACTGTGAAATGATAATTATTTATTTCCTCTGAGTATTGCCAACACCTAACATTTACTAGATGCTGATAGAACTTTTGTAATTCTACTTTAGTCATTCTAATGGATTCGTTTCTTGTCTTTCACATTTTTGATTGCCCATTTTTCACAGGGTTCATTAGAAGTGCACAGACTGGAGGGTCCCCAGCCCTGCCTCGAAAGCAAAGAGATAAGTCACCCAGCAGCCTCTTGGAAGATGCCAAAGAGACATGCTTCACCAGGGATAGGAAGGGAGGCTTCTTCAGCTCCTTCATGAAAAAGAGAAATGCGCCCACACCCCCTAAACGCAGCAGCTCCTTCCGAGAAATGGAGAATCAGCCTCATAAGAAATATGAACTGACGGGTAACTTCTCATCTGTTGCTTCTCTACAGCATGCTGATGGGTTCTCTTTCACTCCTGCCCAGCAAGAGACGAATCTGGTGCCCCCCAAGTGCTGTGGGGGGAGCTTTGCCCAGAGGAATTTCTGTAATGATGACAGTGGTGGGGGTGGGGGCAGTGGCACTGCTGGGGGTGGGTGGTCCGGCATCACAGGCTTCTTTACACCTCGCTTAATCAAAAAGACACTGGGCTTACGAGCAGGTAAACCCACAGCCAGTGATGACGCTTCCAAGCCTTTTCCAAGGTCAAACTCTACATCTTCCATGTCCTCAGGGCTTCCAGAGCAGGATAGGATGGCAATGACCCTACCCAGGAACTGCCAGAGGTCCAAGCTCCAGCTGGAAAGGACAGTGTCCACCTCTTCTCAGCCAGAAGAGAATGTGGACAGGGCCAATGACATGCTTCCCAAAAAATCAGAGGAAGGTGCTGCTCCAACCAGGGAGAGACCAAAAGCCAAACTGTTGCCCAGAGGAGCCACACCTCTTCCTCTGAGAACCCCCTCGGGGGACCCAGCCATTACAGAGAAGGACTCTTCAGGGGTAGGGGTGGCTGGAGTGGCAGCTGCCCCCAAAGGCAAGGAGAGGAATGGTGGGGCACGACTTGGGATAGCTGGAGTCCCAGAGGATGGCGAGCAGCCAGGCTGGGCTTCCCCAGCGAAGGCTGCAGCCGTCCTCCCTACCACCCATAACCACAAAGTGCCGGTCCTCATCTCACCCACCCTGAAACACACTCCGGCCGACGTGCAGCTCATCGGCACAGACTCTCAGGGCAATAAATTCAAGCTCTTATCTGAGCATCAGGGCACATCCTCTGGAGACAAGGACCGACCCCGACGGGTAAAACCAAAGTGTGCCCCACCCCCACCCCCAGCGATGAGACTACTGCAACATTCATCCGTATGCCCAGACCCCGGAGAGGAGCCTTCCGCAGGACAGCCCGTGTCAGAAATACAGGAAGGAGGGAAGAAGGCAGCTCCAGTGGCAGTGCCTGTAGGTGGGAAAGCTGGGAGGCCAGCGATGCCTCCGCCTCAAGTGCCTCTGCCCACACCTTCCATCTCGCCAGCCAAAATGGCCAATGGCACAGCAGGTACTAAAGTGGCTCTGAGAAAAACCAAACAGGCGGCTGAGAAAATCTCAGCAGACAAAATCAGCAAAGAGGCTCTTCTAGAATGTGCTGACCTACTGTCCAGTGCAATCACGGAACCTGTTCCCAATAGCCAGCTGGTAGACACTGGGCACCAGCTTCTCGACTACTGCTCAGGCTATGTGGACTGCATCCCTCAGACTCGCAACAAGTTTGCCTTCCGAGAGGCTGTGAGCAAACTGGAACTCAGCTTGCAGGAGCTGCAGGTATCTTCAGCAGCTGCTGGTGTGCCTGGGGCAAACCCTGTGCTTAATAACTTACTGTCATGTGTACAGGAAATCAGCGACGTGGTACAGAGGTAGCCACTGTCTGCCTAGTGGGAAGATGCACACATTTCTGAGGGGAGAGGGAGAGGGACTTGTTTTCCTGTGTTCTTGTTTTCAAATTGAAAGACATACTTGAGTGTGTTTAAGTGAAGTACCTCAGATCCCTGAGTTCTCACGTTTACAGGTTCATCTCAAAAGTAACAAAAGCAAGTCACGTTATATAGGAGATATAAATTGGATGGGGGCAAGGCAGTGGTGGACAAAGTTGGAAACTGCACTGGAAAATCAGGGAGGAAGTTTGTTTTGTAAAGAAAGAAATGCAGCCTATCCTTGCCTGGAACCATGTGAGGTGCTGGAGGGGCTGCTCCCAGTCACTCTGCACCACAAGAGAGGGCATTGACCTGGGGCTCTGCTAGGTACCAGGAGTGATTATGCTCCCCATCACCTAACAGATTGGGTGGACGGAGAAAGGAAAGCTGGGAATGTTTCGTATTTAGAGGTTTGCTCAAGGCTGTGGGAAGCAGCTTCTTGCCTTGCTTCCATGGGTCATTGCTGCTGTAGTAAGAACTGCAGATCAGATTGCTAGAATATGAAAACGGAAGTGTTGCCCTGTGTGTGCTTCTCAATGTATTAGTTGGTGCGGGAAGTAAAGAATGCTGGGAAGTTCAGTTCAGTCAGGGAGATGGAAATCTCCTTTTAAAATCTTACATTGATTAGCAGTCACTTCCCCAGTCTAGTGTGTTATTCCTAATGGACCAGTATTGACTTTCTGCTTTTTGGTGGCTATCTCTGAACCATAGGTACAGGGGTCTACTTGGTGGTTCTCTGTTGCTTCCTGGGCAGGCTGTCTTCCTTTATCTCTGGCAGCGTACAGAGCATTAACCAATACTGATTTTGAAAATAGCGGTCACAGGTTCTCATAGGGAAGTCTTTTCTGACGCAGTACCCCTGTGTACTGACTACTGGCAAAGGACTTGAACAGCTGTATATTTCTTTGTCAACTAAAATACAGTACTAAGGTGGTGATCCCTTCTTGAAAGGGCAGCCAGGTCCAGAGGCCTATGGCTGAGAAGAAAAGTTGTCTTGGTGATAATGACTATTTCTCTATTCTTTTCTCCTCCTCTAAGCCCTATATGGGTAGAAAGATGGGGAAGGCATTTTCCCTCCCTGTGGGCTTGAATTACTCTCTCATTATTCTCACATGCTTTTCTCTCAAATTTCTGTCCCCACGCCCATCATGTTAGTTTGTATAGTTCATACTGGGAATATTCTTTATTTATTTTGTCATTTCACCTCTATTCTAAAAGTGCATAATTTGAGGAGTAGGTCATTTTCAGGAAGGACTAGTTAGATCCTAGAAACCTAATGACAACTCTTCAGTTTATTTTGCACTTGAAAAATAGGCCTTTTCCCTTCCTACTGAGTTATAATCATGGAAGTTAAATAGGAAGGAACCAAATTGAGTGAATAATGTATTACTGATGTTCTTAGTGTTATGTCTATTTTCATTTACTTCATTCTTTTTTTAAAGGTCTATAACGCCACACACATGTGTACACACACACACACACACACACACACACACACTCCTTAAAGAGAACCCAATAAAAACTTTTTTTCTCCCAAAGGGATATTAGCATAGGAAGATAGGAATTCAACGCCGAGCTTTGAGCTTTCTCCCTGGCTCTGTCATCCATCCACTGTCAAGCTGTAGCTCCATCTCTTGATCTATTGAATGAAGGTAACAGAACCACATGTTCTCAAGGGTATTTTGCAAATAAGTTTATTAGCTAATCCTTTGAGAGCCTCTCTGGAAAAGCTCTTCAGTGCAGTATTGTTATGTTGAATTTGTTTATCATTCTCTTCTTTGCTGAGTAATAGAAACTAATGAAATTTGGAACTGAGCTTATATTAATCGGGCTAGAATACTAAAGGGGAAACTAAGTTTGGGTGTCTTTGACCAAGAAACAAATTGTTTTCATTAAAAATAAAGGAAATTTTGATTCTGCTTGTAACTGCTGCTTCACAGGCGGCCCAGGTTTAGAGAGAGATTAGAAGGGAGGAGATACGGGGCATCCTGGCAGGTGTCGGTGACAGACCAGAGGCAGCTGGTGATCAGTTTATCTGCAGCAGGCCTCCGTCCTACCTTCTTCCTTACCTCTCGCCTTCATCAGACCGTAAACTTGAACTTAGCAGGTAGTCTTTTAAAAGTGGGGAGGGGAAAGCTAAAATTCTAGAATATTATTATGCTGCTTTTTAAATTTATCCCTGTCATTGTGGGATGCAGAGGGTTTATAATTGTTTTCAGGAGATTTTTTTTTTTTCCTAAGAGTTCTGAAAATAAGCATTGGGGAAACACTACTGAGTGTATTTCAGCTCCCTGGTTTTCTCACTGAAGAACAATCTTGCAGATGGTGGGCGGAGCTCTGTCTTACTCAGGGGCAGCACCTAGTTCTGTCTTGCATGCAGAGGGTGCTCAGTAAATTCATAAACTGAATTGATTTTCCTGTACACTGTTGTGAGTAATAAGTGTTATAGGGCACTCCGTCCAGATGATGCTTGAACTGTGTAACTTCAGGAGTTGAGGGTTTAGAGCTTGGGTTAAAGAGGCACTGTCAACTTGCTATAAAAGTACAATTTAGGTTTTTCTTTTTCTACTTGAAAAGGACTAGCCTAAAAAAAAACTTTTGTAAAAGAAAATGTTTGACTCTAAAACGAGAAAACTGCTTCTAGAAACTTATAGTTTAATTGTATCCAGTCTGAAAGCAGATAGCAGGAGAAAAAGCTTTTGTACAGAGTGTTGACAAATTTCATTTTTGTTTTTGTTTTTTGGTACCGGGGATTGAACTCAGGTCCTTGTGCTTGCAAGGCAGGCGCTGGAACCACTGAGCGAAATCCCCGGCCCGTGTTGACAAATTTCTAAAGTGGAGATATATATGCCACAGCCTGATTGTTTTCATGAACAGGTACTGTGATCACAATTTAGATTTCTCACTTTAAAAATGCTGTGTTTCATGTTGAATACATCTTGATTGTACTTTACACAAAGTATTCTCTTAAAAGACAGTGTAAATTTTAAATATTTACATTGTCCTGCACACTCCAATCATAACTTTCAGAGACTTAGCCTTAAAAAACTCTTAAAATCTTTGCACATGTTCTTACAGTACATTGAACTCAGTACCAAGCTATCGAGTCTGTTATGCAAAAAATTTATTTAGTGTTTTTCTAGATGCTCTATACACAGCGATCATTGTAGTGGAGACCCTTTCTAGCACTTGGAGAGGCTGAAGCCAGGAGGATTGGAATTTTAAACCCAAGAACTGAATGATTTATTGAGACCCAATCTCAAAATTAAAAAAAGGACTGGGATATTTTTCAGTGCAAAGGTTCTGGGTCCATTTTCTTGTATTGTAAAAAATAAGTAAAAGTTTAAATTGGGAATTTTCTTACGATTCAATTGAAAACTTTATTCTCAGTTAATAAAACATCCTGACTTTGCCAAGGCATAACCCGTATTTATTTAACCAAAGTAATGGGTTTTTTAATTTAATGGATGCAGTTTAGATATTGGTCTGGAGTTCAGGCTCTATAGACAGTCTAGGAAGCAACTTTTTAAACCTTCCTCAGCCTCAGTTTTCTCATTTAACACAGGGATAAATAGTCACTACCTCAGGGTTGTTGTAAGGATTAAATGAAATAAAAGTTCATAGAATTCTTAGCTTAGAGCACTCCGTCAATGTTAACTACTAATTATTAATGCTTAGTACAGGAATGTGCAACGGAATCCCCTAAGGGTTTTTAAAGAAAAACTGATGAATCAGCCCTACCCCAGATCAGAAATAACAGTGGGATGAAGTCTTGGCCAGTGTGTTTTCCAAGTATTTCTCCATGTGTCTGAAAGCTCACATTGTCTGAAAACTATTGATATCCTTTTCTTAATAGGTTGTGAAACTAGAGGAGATGTTTAAGTTACTAGTATTATCTCAAAACAGTTTGTTAGTGACAGAGTTGAGGTTAGAATTTGGGTCTCCTGACCTCTGGTTATGGGATCTTTCTAACATACCTGCTGCCTTATGAAACACTGAAAAAAAAAAAAAAAAAAAAAAAAAAAAAAAAAAAAGTGGCTCAGAAAGACAATCAATCTGCAATCTGCACACTTTTTAATTTTTGGTCCTGGGGATCGAACTTCGGTGCTTGCGCTTGCGAGTCAGGCTCCAGAACCGCTGAGCGAAATCCGCAGCCCTGGTCTTCTGCACACTTTCTAAAGCACATGCTCCCAGCACAGTCTAACCTTACCGGGCTTGAATGTTGAATAATGGCAACACTAGCAAAAGATGCATTCAGGAGAACTCAGTAATTTAAAAGATTATGTGAGGCATTCTTTTAGACTGACCTCAGCAACACAGAGCCTTGCACTTAATAGTAAGGGAATACCAACTTAAGTTAAAAAAAACAAAAAAAACTAGTCCTACATTCCTTTTTCTTAAAATATAGTTCCGTATCATTTTAGTGACTGTGAGATGATGTACACGAAAGCACTTTGAGCGAGTACCTAATATAACTATAAAGTTGTATTATGAATGTCTGTGTAGAAGAGAAAACATTTAATTAGAGGATGATTGACCTAAAGGCTTTACATGTGGGGGACCTGAAACTGCAGATATATAAGGCATCACCTCTGTAATTTATCACATTTATAATTATGAAACTATAGTATTTTGCTAAAGTTGTTCACAGCTGAATAGCTTCACAAAAATAGGGACCAACTTTTTGGCTTAATTCTGATCTTTAAAAGCAGTAACGTGTATTCACTTCAGAGTAGAGAAGCTCTTCCAAGGACCTTAACCCAAGAAGGATGAGACCCTTACTACTCTTGAACATTTATTTCTTCCTACACAGTCAGCCATTTGAATCCTAAATGTGGGCAGACTTGTTACCTGTTGGTGTTGACAGTGTCTTTTTCAACCTATGTCCTCCCTCCGTGGTTTTGTGAGGGTTTGGGAGAGGAGGTAGGGAAAGGGGCTTGGTGGCCTTAGAACTTGCATTTTTGCTTTTCTAGGTTTTCCTTCTAGAAAATGGCATTGATGTTGATCATCTATAGTATCTTTATTCTAAGATGACTAGCTGAACTTCGTTCACTTGTTAGATTACAAAATACTCAAGAATAACGGCAGTGGTGGCTACTTTTGAGTTACAGCTACACTTCATCCTGACCTCTCTTATACGTTTCCATTTTTGCTACTGATGTTATTATCAGGCTGTGCCCCCAGCAGGAGTTCATATTAGACTGACAGGGTTATCTATACTTTTGTTGATGGTAATTTTGGGGTTTCATCATCTTGCTTGCATTACCTTGCTCCACCTCGCTCTGGGGTCCATCTCTGCCTGAAGTATGTAATATCCAGTCCTTCTTTTGTAAGTAGATCTTTGGCCCAAAGTTTCCTCTTGTGTTGGTGACTCCCACTGTCTATATCTCTGCCTTCACTTCTGCCAAGCCAGGAGCTGAGCACCTTTGAAAATTCTTGATTCAGCTTAGAATTTGTGGGCTATTCCAAGGGAGCCTCTGCCTTGCTGACAGGCTGGACATAGGCAGCCCAAGAGTACCTGTACCTTCCATGTTACAGCTGGGGAAACTGCTGCTATCTGTAGGCTCACTAGTCAAGAGACAAGGCCTTGGGCTGCTCTGCTCTTGGGGCCAGGGGTTTAGCTCAGTGGTACCGCTGCCTGCCTTGCAAGTGCAAGGCCCCGAGTTCAATCCCCAGTACCACACACACACAAAATCTCTTAACAGTCAAGGGTCTCTTCATCATTTGGGATGAGTTCCAGTTTTCCAGTTACTAGACTTTTAAAAATTGAATGCAAGACTGACTTTGGAGGTGAGGGGAGCAAGTCAGTAGTGCCTGGAGTAATGCTTACCTGCCCTATTCAGCACAACTACAGTTGCCAATCTGCTCCTCTGTACCTAAGGAAGCATGGGTGAGGTTTCAGGGCCACAGATGAGGCTGCTGCAGAACAGCCTCCCGGGTGAGATGCAGCTCCGGCTCGTCTTTGGAAAGGCTTACTGAAATGTCGATGCGTGGGTTTCTGCTCTGGCGCTGCTGTTCTCTATGCCACCCACCCGAGTCACGAGGTCTGTTTTGAGTATATTTAAGATGAGCCTTCTGTGTCTGACTTATCTTAGATCCAAATGCCAGGGATTAGGAAGGGCTCTACCCTCTGTAATCAGGGTAAGAAGTTTCTTTGCTTCTCCCTGGGTAAGGAGGCTGACAGCAGTATAGTTTGATTCTAAGCTGATTTAGGGTGGCAGAGGTCACCTGTAGAGAATTGTGCCTTCAAAGATGGGTTCCTGAGTCTTGCAAAGGAAAAGTGTTGTCTGCTGGGTTGATTTTGCGTAAGTGTTGAATTAGATCTGGTAGAAATGTGCTTCCCTGGGTCTCAGCCTGTGTCAGTGACTACCCCACTTGAGGTGTTTTCTTCACACAGTGCTGATTTTTTTAAAATTTAGATTGAATTTATCGGTACATTGTACATATACAGTACAGTTACATTCATTATGGGATCTTGTACCTTTCCATGCCAGGTCTTGCTTCTCATTTTAGTGCTGATTTGGCAGATGGCTGCACTTTTCTCCATCCCTTTTGGTGAGCTGAGGGAAGGATGCTGTCATTGGTTCTTTCCCTCCCTCCTTCCAAATGCACTTACTTCTTAGCTCCTATGTACAACTATAAATTTGAAATTGTTTACCTCTCCTAGAAAAGTTGAATCTTTTAGCTTCTCCATTGCTGAGCAACCTGAATGCAATAGCAGAGTCCTTTTAAGTTGGACAGAGGTAACAAATGTGGTGTTGAGTGGGCCTTCAGACCTGCAGACCACCTAAAGGATGGATGGATAGATGATTGGATGATCTCTACTCTAAGCTGAAAGACTAAGCACAACTTCGTCCTCAGACCATATCACATTCGAGGCAGAATTACGACACCTAAATTCTGTCCTGTGAGGTTTTTTGTTCATCATTATACTTACAATATCAAGTTTTAGGGTCCTACATGTGACTCTAAGCTGCTGAGTTGTGCACACAGAGGGCTCTGAGCAGGCCGTTGACCCTTTAGGACGTGGTAGAAGCAGATTCAAATACTAGTAAAGCTTTATGATAGGAAATATGGGATTTTTGTGTTTGGAAATTGATTAGATTTGCTTCTGAGCCTCCAAATCGGAGTTTTAAATCATTTAGTTATCGTAAAATTTAGTTGGAGATTGGGACTTGGGGTTAATAAAATTTTAACACATATGGGTATCTAATTTGTGCCATTATGACACAATAAAAAGAATAAAGAGGTAGGCCAATAAAAGTATTCTTGATGTAGAAGATACTGCAATGCTTCAGGGTTATCAATGAGCAGATCTCTGATCCTCTAATACCGCTCAATTCCATTTCTAAGAACCGTACCAGGTACTGTGAGTGGCACAAATGCCAGGAGACAGAACTGCTTCTGACAGGTGAGAGACAGGTGAGACAGCTTTCTTCCACTTTGACAGCCGGTTTTCACTGTAGCTACTTAGGACTGCGTTATGAAAAGAATTTTCTGAGATCTTGAGAAATCACCTTGATTAGCCAGGCAAATGAGTACTCAGAAACTAGACAGGATGATGAGGGACTCACCTTATAGCTCTTTACTGCATGTATTTGAAAACCCTTTTGGGAAATGAAGCACCATCACGCCTCACATCTCCACGAAGGGCACACAGTTACGTGAATGCACACGCACTTGACGGGCCCATTCAGGAGACGGGGAGTGAGTGAAAGGAAGTCATCCGTGGTGCACAGAAGCAGTGCACGGCT